CGGAGTCTTCTGGAGTGGTGTCGCAGTCGATCATCATGGCTTCCAACAGATTGGCATCGTATAGTGTTCAGCGATGAATCCCGCTTCACTCTTGAAGCAGATGGCCACTGTGTTCGTGTCAGGAGAGGACGGGAACAGCGGTCCCAATCAGCCTTTGTTTTGCATACAGCCATAATCCCTGGTGTGATGGTGTGAGGCGCTATTTCTTATTACAGCAGGTCATCTTTAGTCATCCTCCGTACACCTTTAACAGCTCAACGATATATTGATACCATCCTGCGGCCGGTTGCATTACCCTTCATGGCACGTCATCCTGAGGCCATTTTCAAACAATATAATGCCAGGCCACATACCGCTCCCATATCTCTGGATTGTTTCCGTGCATTTGATACTCTTCCTTGGCCAGCAAGGTCCCCAGACCTTTCACCAAAATACAGCATGTCTGGGATATGGTAGGCGGCCAGATTCGGGCACCACAAAATATCGCAGATCTGGAGCGACACTGATGAATGCCTGGCAGAATGTGTCGCAGGATGACATTAGGAACCTCTAACACTCGTTGGCTCTACGAATTCAAGCGTGCATTGCCGCTAGGGACGGTTCGACCAACTACTAATTTAAACACTCAATGGGTGATTGTGAGCCGTGAACAGGTACTATGACCTTGATTTTTTAATCATTTTATTATCTGTGTATGAGCTATACACATATTCAATTTCATCAAAACAACCACTTCTTTCATGGTGTTTCGATTTTGTTTTCCCCAAAAGAGTGTATTTTTGCATATCATTTCTTAATGATCTAAGTACTTATCCTAGAACTTCTAATTTCTCATTGTTGGATAAACTTAATATTCCAAATGACATTCTTTTCCTGCAGATTCTTTAACTAAATGCCCCCAATTCTGGGAATTTTCAGAAGTCGTTTCATTTTAGAAATTATGGTGTTATTTACAATAACAGATTTTTAAATCAAAAGATTTAGTTCTTCACTCTTAATATCCCCACAATCTGCCGCGATGGTGAGATCAGATTTCTAAATCAAACAGAAACTTTTAAAATTAAATGTAAATTTATCGTATTAGGCTATCTAATACGATAAATCGAAATTTGATAGAAAGCGACATTTCGTAATTCTTTGTTACTCCGATTAAAGAATTATTTCCTACCTTCAGAGAACACCACCAGGAGCGAGAAAAATCTCTAAATACAGGTAGTTCTGACTTGAGTTCAATTCCAGACGAACGGACTTTCTGCATGGGCGGTTTTATGGTTTTCCCCACGTATAACGTGTATACAAGGCAGTTTTTCTTACAAATTCCTTCACTAAGGCATCCTTCCCCTTAGGCAGAGAGTCCTAGTGTGCTTTGCCATATCATCTAAAATGAAACGAAACATACCTTTTCAGAGGAGGGATTTTTTCGCTTTGTTCCCATTCTGTGACGGTAAAGTATAAAGTAAGTAGATGTCTTTTAGAGTTACGATTTATTAGTCGTACGAGCGAATTGTGATAGTCATACGAGAAGCTTTAGCGTAAACAGAATGCTTTAGCATAATATTAAAAACAGTGTTTCGTTTTCTGTCAGCAGTAAACGTTTCACGAAAAGTCACTTTGTGTCGCTGATGACAAACAGCCCAATATAAGCAAATCGTGTCATTTGAAAGCGGTCGTACGAATGGCCTGCAAGAAACACAATTTTCCTGTCTTGAGAAATGGCAACTCACGTGTAGTATAATGCCTCCTCCTCAGTTTGGAAGCAGTGGACGTAAGAGAACATTTTTCTATTCTAATCCCATAAAACTATCTTCACTATACATAAGTAGTAAAATTAACTACAAAATAAAGCCATCTTTGCAGAATTCGGGATATATTCAGTAATATTCGAATAAGAAACTACAACTCTATTCTGTAACCTTAAACGAAACCCTCCCTCAAATAATTTCATCCGTATTTGTTAAAATTATTTTGCATGTTTAAACGACAAAAAAAAAAAAAAAAAAAAAGTATTTTATGAAACTTTTTAATTTAGAATTAATTTTGTTACTTTATACAGTATTTCTCCCACTTCCCTAGCGTGCCTTCGTAGTGTAACGGTAGCACGATGGGCCGGTATTCTAGAGGTCCGTGGCAAAGAATCTCTAAGGAGAAGAAGTAAAGGTTCCCCGGGGCAAATGTGGCTCCGTCAGACCGAAGAGACACATTATGTATATCCCTGAAGCTTACTTTAAAGGGGCAAACCATTCCAAAGCTATCCACCCTCCGTACCTCACTGCGCATGTGCGAAATAACATCAGGAGGCAACAAAGCAGCATCAAAGAATGCAGCATGCCGTCGGCCATGTTAGCAATCTTTTACCACGTTGTTCGAAAACGTTCTTTGTTGTTGTAGTCAGAGGGTACTTGGTTTTAGCTATGTGAAATTCTTTAAAAGACTTTTTAAATATAATGCTGTAAGTGAAAATGGTTTTTGGCTATTGGGTGAAAACTTTGCTCTTGGTTTTCACAATGGTCATTCCAAATAATTGTCTAAACGTTTTCATGGTAATTGTTTTTAAAGTTGTTGTCGGATAATTGTAATGTATTTCAGTGTGTTTTCAATTTATTTAGGTGTGCCTTTAATTGTCTTTAAATATTTTTTTCTTCTTCAGTTAGTTATTGCAAATTTTGCTTTTAAAATTTCACTGTAAAATTTTAACTATGGATCCATAAAAATTTATTACGTTTTGTATGGCATGTGTTTTCCCCCCTTTTTAAGTTTACAGAAGAAAAGAATTAAGAAATTTATTTCATTTAAATTTTGTCTTCGTACGGCTCGCTGCTTAAATTGAAAGTAAAAATTGGACAGGATTTCTATAATTCGCCCCAAAATTCCAACTAACATATTTTGCTCATAAAACTCCAGAAATGTATGAAAATAAAACATTTTGAGTTATTTCAAAGTAAAAAAATTTACTATCTCCTCGAACTGCGCTGTTTAAATTTCACCCTGCGCTGGTGTTTCACTGCATAGCCGTGGCTCTTCGGTACAGCGGCGCAGAGGCGAAACAGGTTTACATTGCGTCTATGGAAGCTTTCATTCTTCTCCTTAGAGATTCTTTGTCCGTGGTTCGATTCCCGGCGAAGGCGGTTGCTAATTTTTCATCTCTCAGACTTCCAAAAATTCTAATGACTCTACAAGTGGTGCTCGAACTAAAAGGGTTGTGGATGATGATTCTCCGCACCCAGGATTTGGCGACTAGGTCCCCTAAAACCCTAGTCGCCCTCTGAAAAGGGGAGTATATAAGGTATTTCTCCCACTTCCCTAGCGTGTCTTCGTAGTGTAACGGTAGCACGCTGGGCCGGTATTCCAGAGGTCCGTGGTTCGATTCCCGGCGAAGGCGGTTGCTAATTTTTCATCTCTCCGACTTCTAAAAATGCTAATAACTCTACAACTTATGTCTATAATTTAGTTGCTTAATATTCAAACATTTTTTTATCTATATACGAGCTCTTTTCTCTTGCACTGCTCAGCCTATGTTATTTATCGGTTTACAAGAAAGATACAAGTTTTCAAATGACTTGTGAATGTCACTCAGTGGTAAATGCGAATGCTTTAGAAGTTATTTGGGCGTCGATACCACAGGGATACGATTTAATACATTCGGCTTCCTACTTCGTAGAGAGAGGAAATGCATTGTCAGCCAGAGAAAGTAACTACATTTAAAACTTAAGTGAACATTTTTAGACCAGTTTTTAATTGAGTGCTTACCACTGTAGAACAAAATTAATTTCGCTGAGCTGAAATTCAAGGGGTTAAAAATATTCTGTTAACTACGTAAATATTGCAACTAATAATGTTTATAATTATTAACTGCATGTATTATTATAATTAATTACATTTTAAAACATAGTATTTAAATATATTATTAAAAATAAAACAAAGGCATAAATAAATGCTTTCAAATTCCCCAGTCCGGGACTACAGTGTTAATTAAAAAAATAATTAAGGATTTTATGTTATGTATGTACCAAGCTGCATGAAGATCAATTATTGTCCTTGTTTCATTTGGTGTGACAAATGGCAAATCCTCTGAGAGTTAAATAGCATGGCATCATTTCTGATAAATGATTATTTTTTGCACTTATGTTAAGATTTAATTTTGTATCAGACATATTAAAATCCAGTTTAATAAACTCAAACCAACCAGCTCAGTGAATGAGTTAATGGGCGAGTGTTTTCCATTTCGAATATCCATAGATTGAAAAGGAAAAAATATCATATTTTTGCAACAATTTCATATGAAAAAGCTCAGTTACGAATTTTAATGGGCATAACATTCGTTACATCAGGCTGATTCAATCAGTGTTCGTAGACTAATTTTCTGTTAATGAAGGAAGATCGTTTGTTAGTTGCTTGAGACGAACTGAGCCTTTATATTTGAAACCAACATACTGCAATATTAAATTCTAACAATTATTAATATACTTATTTGCATATGAAATAAAATTTCTCAAAATTTCCTTCTTTGTTTTTTAAATAACTTACATTACAAAAATAATTTATTATTTCCTTTAAAAACAACACTTCAGCGTCTCCAGGATCGTAATCATCACCAATGCACAATTTTAATTCGCAGTTTTTTTATGCTTCGAACTGCTACTTAACTCAATTAGCGCAAAAGGTTATAGTACGATTACACTTTCAGTTAGTTCCATAAATTTTGTTTTATTATTATTATTATTATTATTATTATTTTGTTAATTTCTTATTATACGCTAAATTCACAGAGCCACCTGGAAGACAAACGAACTAAAAAATATTTTTGCGTAGTTATTATTTCTTTCTCAGTTCTATACATGCAATACATGTTATTATTACTTGATTAATAATAAGTCCAAGCAAATTACTTTTGCTAGGTAATTTGCAATATAGTAAGTTAAAATATGAATTTACTTGAATAATAAAATCAAACACTTAGACTATCATTTGATTTCGGGTTGACAGAAAAAAATTCAAAAGTATTTTCAAATTGATTCAGATGTTTAATAACACAAAATGTACACAAACACTTTTCAATGGAATGTTTATCGTTTAAAGATGAAGAAAAATAATTTAATTTTCATGTAGTGCAAGAATCATCAGCTTTCTTTGGTTTTCATGAAAGGCAGTTTTGTCATGATGAGAACCTATTTTATACTACCAACTTTTATGAAATGGAGGTGGTGCACTCAGTACTGCTTCGAGGGTCGATGGGCTTTCAGAACTATGCAAGTATCTTGTTCTTTTGATCGAGTTGATTCTCGACGTGGGTGTCGTTGTATCTCTTGAAGGTGAAATCTGATCATAAATGTCAGCATCAGTGCTTTCTGATGTCACTTCACCACTTAGAGAACCAGGAATAAAATGTGGAATTGTTTCTAAGGAAAACAAAACGAGAATATGAGAAATTTACTTAAAGTATTAAAGCAATAGCGAAAAATTATCTATTACCAAAAGCGTTATTACTCAGAATACTATAAAAATATATCTTTCCGTCACCTTATAACATTTTTTTTATAAATTTTGTTATTTATGAACATATTTTTATAACAGAACATATTTTTATAAATTTGGAGATTTAGCGGGATAGTACAATTACTCAGGATAATACGCAGAAACATTATGAAGTATAATATTTTGTTTGTGTTATGACTTTCTCCCTTGTCTGACAATAACATCATCATATCTATGAGTTCGTGAAACCTGAGATGATACAGAATTAGTTCCTGGCTGGACTATACCTGGCCTTTAAAGTAGTCGATGCATGAAAAGAATATACGAAGTAAAGGATATGTGAAAAGCTAGACTTAGAGCATTCAAGATAAACTTTGGCTCCAGAAAAGGGCTACATCTTGACATAGATGCCCAGTGTGGAATCTGGCTGACGCATTTTGCATCTCTCTTCTGTTCGCCTCAAGAACAGCGACATCAGACTGTTTGTTAGCATACCAGTCATGATCGGGTCTCCAAGACGAACTGATCTCGAGTCTCACCTCGAACAAGTTACGCAAAAGAAAGGGCACCAAAGTCTGGTGTATCATTAAGACTACCCTCTTTATCCAAACTATGCGCAGTTTAATTTCCATAAATATCTACACGCGATGGAATCCACTGGAAGAATACCCTATGGTATTTACGGAAATGTTTATTGTAATTTGATCACTACATTTCTGTCATTTAGATAGATTTTGAATACAGCTAGTATCAGAATCTACATATCTTTATCGAGCTAGAAGTCAGTCAATAATTTAAAGGGTTCATCCATGACTATCGATTTTGAAACTTAACACAGTCCTTATTAATTTTAATAACATTATTCTACTTCTTGGTAAAAATTTCGCCAAGTGAAATAAATCCATCACCCTTTTAGAAGTATGTATTATATTCAAAAGAAATTGGACACTTCGGAATTTGCAAATATAGGTGAACTTGTAAACACAACTGATGCGATATGCTAGATTTTCCGCAATCAACTGTAGTGGAAGTCATTTGAAGATCCTTGTTGACATCATAAGAGCAAAATACTGACATGAAAGGTAGTATAATTTGAAGAATCAGAGAGAACATGCTTAGTGACTAACCTAAAACAAAATCGATATTCCTCAGCATTACTCATTATATTCTAAAACTATAATTCTTGAGCATAATATTGGATAACGTGTTTGATTGGTTGCACACCATCTCTGTATTCGCAAGACCAATGGAGTAGTATTTAGCGTACTGCATCATGGATTACAAAATAGTGGAAGTGGTTACACTGAGCGATGAATTATACGCTTTAAAGTTTTTAAATCAGATTATTTTCTTATTCAAGGTCTTTGATATAGAGAAGGCCTCTGCAACCTATGATCCGCAGCCCACCGAGAGATCCATTCCATAATTTCATGTGATCATTTGAGTTCCGAAAATAAAGTACAATATACGACTGTAAAAATAAGTTATAAAACATAAATATGAAGCCAGCACTTAAAGAGCACAAAAAATTATACAAAATAAACCTAAAATAAATAATTGTAATAACACTTTTATTTCCTTAAATAGTCGCAGTAATGAACATGCATTTTTATCTTTAAAAAATAAAAAATTGTAGCATAATTTCAAGGAAAATCGATAAGTTTCGCAACTTTGATCTGTAATCCATAATTCCAAAAAATAAATGCCGTCTTGTTCGAATTTGATTCAACTTCTAAATGCAAACAAATATTTTCACACGGGAAATTTATTTTAAGTTAGAAAAGGTAACTTAACTACCGAAAGTTCAGGTGCTTGGATTCGTCTTAAGACAACTCGTAAATTCAGCAGAGCCATTAATAATAAGAGATAATAATAATAATAAGACAGCCATTGATATCGAAAAAGAAAAATAAAAGTTCATTCAGTTATGTTTGTTTTCCTAATAATTAGAATTATAAGTATAATTTTATATAAGTAGTAATATTTAAAGCGTATTTTAATTATTTTTTTAATAAAATTTATCTATTATTCACCAAGAAAGACTGTTTTAAAATGAAAATACCAATGACTCGAAATATCTTCTTAATATATACATTTTGGTTAGTTTTGACCTGCAGCTGATCAAAACTAACTAAAATGTATGTATATATATGTAACCAAAATGTATGTTGATAAATAGAAATCGTAACCCAAGAGCTGTTGAATAAACTGGCGCTGAGTATCGATAGAGGGTATAACGGAAACAATTGCAATTAGAGAAGATCATATTCCTTACTAAGACTTTTTAATTTTTTGTTTTGCCGTCGCCCGACATAGGAATTTCTTTGGCAACGCATTTTCTCTGTATTGTACCAGCTATTTGGGAGGGGATATGAAATGGCCTGGGCTTATTTCTGATTAGAAAAGACTAAATCATTTCATTGTTTTTCATTAAATTTCCTGAAAGCTATCTAATACTTAGGAATAAATCTTTGTTTCGTTCAATATGATTTGGCGGTATGCTATGCTTCCATATCTGCCGAGATCTGATTTGAAAATACGAAAGTTAGATTGGCTTGCTCTAAATACTCATTTCAATCAAATAAAGCACTTTTGAGATGACCTAGATAATCTAACTCTTTCCAAATGAGAATTCTTTCTTCTAAAAACCCTCTGAAATAATTTTAATCTAGGAATGGAAAGAAATCTTGGTAGACACCTACTGGAATGAAATTGAGTGGAAGCATCTTTCGAAGGGTCGAGGCAATCATTTTTGCCACGATGGTTCAATGCATTTTATTTTGGAAAATAAATAGCTTTAGTATTTATTCTGTGTGCCTGATTATTTTTAATATAGTACTATTTATGGGAATTCTGAAAACTTCACTATGCATCTTATTTCTTTAGACCTCGATAAAAGGCATCAAAGCACTTCTAGTATAAATAAAATAGAGTGCAGAATTCCCATAGTGTCCAGGAGAAAGATAATGACATCTAACTTTTATACAATCGCAGTAAAATAAAATTCCAGCTAATAACATATTAGTCCTTTTCATCAGTGGAGTTACGTCCTCTTAATCAATGAGTGTCGTTTCAGTCTTACAGACGATTCTCGCTTCATTTGATATGGAGAGAGGTAGGGACACGCTTTCATTCCACTAACATCAGTAAAAGAGATCGCTGGGATGGTCCTGGCGTGTTTGCATGGGGAGACATTATGATGAACGGCCAGACAGAGCTTCACATTTTGGACAGATGTTCACTTACCGGAGATCGTTACTGGAATAAAGTTATTCTCCTCCACGTGTGTATTTTCCAGTTTGTTATTGATCTCCGTTTTGTTTTTAGAGAAGACAATGCATGCCCACACAGGACTCATGCTGTTAAAGAGCTCCTAGAAAGTGAAGGTATCCTCAGAATGCATTGGCCAGCGTACTTCCCCAATTTACTCATTGAACACGTGTGGGATACTTTAAGGAAATACCTAGCAGTACCATCTTACCCTCTGGTGAACATCAGATGATTCACACAGATGCTCCTTGATAAATGGAAATCGTAACCCAAGACCTGTTGAATAAACTGGCACTGAGTATCGATAGAAGGTCTAACGGCAACCATTGCAATTAGGGAAGATCATATTTCTTACTAAGACTTTAATTTTTTGTTCTTCCTCTTTACCAGACAGTGTTTCGTACCAAAGCCATTCTGTGTATAAAGCATTTTCCTATTCTTTCCGTACTGCATGCTTCCTATTCATACATTTTTGGCTATTATGCTTTTCTTATATTTCAAGTACTACCCTAAAAAAGAACGGCAACGTCGTAACGACATTGCAAATTGGTCGCGAGTCATGTTTCAAAAATGTTGTCGTCTTCAAGACGCCCAGATGTCCGCGAAACTCCACTGTTTTGCAACCGTTGCAAAGTCGTCTTTATTACGTGTTTGCAGATGAGGTTTTTGTCGCATATACGTCGTTATTGCGTCTTTCGCAGGTGATATTTTGATTGTGAAAGCATCGTATCACGTCTTAACGACGCCTAAATGTTCGCAAAATTCTACCTTTTTGCAACAGTTGTGAAAAGATCGTTATTATGTCCTTGTGTTTCACATTGATTTATGCAGAAAAATAAGCGTAATAATTAATATATTTTTCTTCATTTTTAAAATTTTGTATTCCTTGCATTTTTCTAAAGTTTAAATATTTTATCATTTCCTGAAAACTAGAAGATAATACAATTTTTTCTCTTTAGACTAAATATGCATAATTAATAAAAGCTTCAATTATTTTCAGTACTTCAAACTATATTTTTTAAATAATTTAAATTCTAAGACGATTATTGAAGTGAGAGAAGTTATAAAATTGGTTCAACATTAATAGTAGGTTTTAAATAAATAAAACTCAATCAGACATAAATAAAAGTAAAGATATATATGTGGCTTAAATAAAGAGCTTTTCTGATAACAGCATTATCCCATTTATTTCTGTTAAATCTCAGAGACATTGAAAATTGCCCCTGTCATGATAAATTAGGAAGCGGCTCTTAATGTAACATAATCAGTATTTTACTTGAACTCAAGTAAAAATTTATTCGCGTTTCATGGTAAAAAATATAGCCATTTACTTTCATATCTCCAAGGTATGCAAATGAAAGACTGTATAAAATAGTTAATAAATGTGATCAAAAATATTTCGTACAAAAATATACCTAAATCTAATAACCAAAAAAAACTTCTCATATTCTTATCTAAAATGAAATAATAACCTAACAAACAGCATACAGGACAGCACTATTTAAGAAAAAACATGAACTAGTAGTGTTTGAAAGTATAAATAGCAGATGGAAGCTAAAGAACTAAAATTTCCAATTAATAAAAAAAAGTGTTTTTTAAATAGTAAGCAATTAAAAGTGCAATAATTATGGATTGCAGTATTTACTAGTAATGC